AAACGCAACTTTACTGACTCTTCAAGGGCCTAACAATTATGCAAAGTCCAGTCTTCAGTGTGTGGAGAAAAAGAAAACACATTTGTTGGAATCTTGCTTCAAGAAATTGAAAAGGAAATTGCAACAAACCTTTCATTATCAATGTCCGCCTGCATCCTAGAATCACAAAAGCCAGCCATATTGCTCTTTCTTTGTTCCTTCTTCATGCATGGTCCCCTATTATGATATCAACATATTAATGTCATAATCTTTTCATACAAGAAAAACTTTGTTAATGGAGTACATCATAAACTAATGAATAACTTTGTTAAAATCCAAAATATTTTCAGACTTACCTGATATTTTAACTCTAGCTTATGCTGTATCAGTTGATGAGAATTTATATATGGGATTCATGTTTGACAGTCCAGGCTGCACATTAAAAGTGCAGTCTGGTCTATAAATTTACTAAAATAGCCTTAATGAAACTATTTCATAGGTAATTTCATTAGGGTATTTTAGTAAATTCATAGGTTGGACTGCAATTTTAATGCGTAGTTCACCTTGTAAAACAATTTTTCATTTATATATAAAGCTATATATTGATTTCAGATCATTGATATCTGCATCATGAGTATTTTGCCTCAACTTTAGTTACCCTAAATTTTCTTTTGGTTTCTGCTTCTTGAAAGCGTCATGGAGCATGCTGATCTTTTGGCAAGGTTTTTTGGCTTTTTATTTGGTTTTTTCATTGTGTGGTGTCATGCTAGATGCGATGACAAACATCAAATAACAAAATTAAAACCCCTAAATTGATAATTAAAATAATGTATCTGCAAAGAAAAAGCAAGTCAATCAACAACTTTAATGAAAAGTTTAAATAATGGAGCCCCACCTTTCCTTTAGTCACCCTTTCAAAGTTCAATCAAACTTTTGTTTCCGACTCTATTATTAGCAAGGTTTTTAAAACCGGACCGGACCGGCTGGTTAAATCGGTCGGACGGGTACCGGTAATGAAAATGGTTTGGTTCATACAAAAAACCGTTTGAGGTCAAAATCGGTCAAAAACCGTTCAAAACCGGTCAAAATCATTCAAAACCGATCAAAAGCATTCAAAACCAGTCAAAACCAGTGAAACCGGTGGAACCGGTAGAACTAAAAAAACCACCGGTTCAATTTCTCATGCAATTTTCTTTTTATTTTTTCCAATTTCACCCTCATCATTCCTTTCTTATACCGATTTTAACCCTTAATTTTAATGAAATTACAAAATTACTTATCCCTCTCATCAAATTTCCCTTGTTATTTGAATCGATCGGTTCACCAGTTTAACCAGTTAAACCGATCAAACCAAAAACCAGACCTGAAAACGGTTCAATAACCGATCCGGTTTTAAAAACCTTGATTATTAGACAGGAAGCTGCGCAGAAACTTCACTACCTAAATTAATCAGAAAATTTACCTAAGGCCTACTTGACATAAAGAATGAATACTTAGAAGACCAATGTTTATAGCACAGACACTTTGCTCTATAGATGCATGTATCAGGTGATACAGCTCGGCAGTAACTTCTTGTAGCAGAACAAAGCTGAAGCGTTTTCCAGAAGAGAGGAAAAGGAAAAGAAGGAAGAAGATGAGGATGCTGGGAGGTGCTGCGTTGGGTGCTCTTGATTTGGTTGTTTCAAAGATTATGATTTTCAATTTCCTATTTGATAAATTGATCCCTTCTTCTATCAAAGGCTATATTGAAAGGTATGGTCAAAAAATTGTGAATTCTCTGAATCCTTACATTAAAATTAGCTTTGATGAATTCAGTGGGGATCGCCTGAGACGCAACGAAGCCTTCTCACCAATTCAACACTATCTGAGAGAAAAGTCCTCTGGCTCTGCTAAGAGACTCAAGGCTCATGTTATCAAAGGTTGGCATTCACCCATCATTAGCATGGATTACAATGAGGAGGTCACAGATGAGTTTCAAGGGGTCAAAGTCTGGTGGACTGCAGTAAAACATGCTCCCCACCAAAATACTTTGCTTTTATCTAATTCTATGGAGCAGAGGTCTTACAGGCTCTGCTTCCACAAGCGTTGCAGGGAACTCATCATCGAGTCTTATATCAAACATGTGGTAGAAGAAGGAAAAGCAATAGCAGAAAGGAACCGGAAGAAGCGGCTGTACTCTAATAATCCTAGTGAGGCTGGGGGCCGGTTCAGCTCGAACAAATGGAGCAATGTTGCTTTTGAGCATCCTGCAACATTTGATACTTTGGCCATGGAACCAGAAAAGAAAGAAAAAATCAAGAATGAACTTGTTAAGTTTAGAAAGGGAAAAGAGTACTATGCTAAGATAGGGAAGGCTTGGAAGCGTGGATATCTCCTCTATGGTCCCCCAGGGACTGGAAAATCTACCATGATTGCTGCCATGGCAAACCTTTTGGACTATGATGTGTACGATCTTGAGCTTACAGCAGTTAAGGATAACACGGAGCTGAAGAGGCTTTTGATTGACACATCAAATAAGTCGATCATGGTGATTGAGGATATTGATTGTTCTCTTGATCTTACAGGCCAAAGAGAGAAGAAGAAGAAGCTGAAGAAGGAGGAGGAAGAAGAGGATAATGAAAATAAAGAGGAAGGGACTAACACGGTCACTGAGAAGGCAAAAGAAAAGAAGAACAAGGAGAGTAAGGTAACTTTATCTGGACTTCTAAATTTCATTGATGGACTTTGGTCAGCTTGTGGGGAAGAAAGGATCATTGTGTTTACGACTAATCATATCAACAAGCTTGATCCGGCTTTAATACGAAGAGGAAGAATGGACAAGCACATAGAAATGTCCTATTGTTGCTTTGAATCATTCAAGGTTCTAGCTAAGAATTATTTGGATATTGAGTCTCATTCATTGTTTGGAGATATCAGCAGATTGTTGGAGGAAACAAACATGACTCCTGCTGATGTAGCAGAGAATTTGATGCCAAAGTTAGAGAAGGATGATCCAGATACTTGTTTGAAGAATTTGATTGAAGCTCTTTCAAAGGAAGAAGCACACTTAAAGGCTGAGAAGGAAAAAGCACGCCTGAAAGCAGAGAAAGAAGAGAAAGAAAAGGAAGAAGCACTCCTGAAGGCACAGAAAGAAGAGAAAGAGAAGGAAGAAGCACTCCTGAAGGCAGAGAAAGAAGAGAAAGAGAAGGAAGAAGCACTACAGAAGGCAAAGAAAGAAGAACAAGAGAAGGAAGGAGCATGCCAGAAGGTGGAAAAAGAACGGAAAGTGAAGAGCAATCTGCTTAAGAGACTGTTGAAGAAGATGAACCAGCAATCAAAGAAGTAAGCAACACTATGGAAACTAGGACTATGGTACATATCATAGTTATGTTGTATGCATTCTTATTGATTCCCCAATTGTCTTGATTATCTAAATAAGTTTTCTCGTGTTAATCATCAACTTTGTCCTTGTAACGTAAGCAAGAAACACCATGGATATATATATGTATCATAGGTAATGTTGTACAATTCTAATTGATTCCCAATTCTCCAGATGGTTATGTAAATAACTTTGCTCATATTAGTCATCAACTTGCTGCCTTGTAGCATGTTTCAATAGTTTAGGTTCAATTCAACGCTGCTGATGGCTTTTCAGTATATACTACAATTCCAGGTTTAGAGATCACTTCAAGGAGGTATCGTGATATATCGGAAAAGCCTAAATTTGTTTTTAGAATTTCAGTGGCCAAATCTTCTAAACCTCACCTTGGAGTTGCCAAAATAACCGATGACATTTTGTGAGCATGGTTTGTTAATACTGCACCAGAGGCTGAGTAGTTGGTTGAGATGGCCTAATTAAAGATACCCTGTTGTGTATGTTAGAGTTGTGGTGTTCAAGCTGCCAAAGTAGCAGCAAATGGAAAGACGTGAGAGCTGCAGTATGATGATTACAGAGTAGCAGCAAAGTGACAGCACAATGGAGCTTCACATACGCTACAAGAAATGGCAGTAAATCTTTGAATGTAATCTTTTGTTTTAAATGCTTAATATTTTCTTGTATTGGGTAAAATGTTAGGTGAGAAAAAAATTGTTTTTTATTGTATTGTTTCTGCTATAAATGTAGTAAAATATCAATGATATCTTTGAGTTGGAGTGATATACTCCTCTCCATTTTATGTGCTCTGCTCTTCATCTTCTTCCTCTCGGTTCTCTCCATTTTTTTTTCTTTCTTTGTTTTAAAAAACCCAACAGTGTATGCCTTATGCATGTGCAGAAAAAGCAGTATTTTGATAAGGAAAAAGACTTGGAGGATTTGCTTTAAGCATATTTCCTAGTAAGACATCACAAGTTAGGTCATCCTACATCCAAGCTTCAACTTGCTTTAAGATAAATTTTAAAAAATGCTTGCAGCAAATGCATTTAGTAAACAAAAAAATAACTATATTATTGGGGTTATCAAGTATTAAATTACACTTTCTGTGTCTTAGTTCTAACTCATTTTGTTAGTGGTAGTACCTTAAGGATTAAAACCCCACCGCTTCCATAAAAGCACCTATCCTATACCTAAAGACTGTAGTGGCACAAAGAGAAAAGACAAACTAAAACAGAACAAAATGAGGCCTTGAAGTGCTTTTGGACTTAGTTGACCAAATGGGTGCTGTGGTCCTAACTTGGTTTGTTTGTCCAAGGCCCTGATCAATCACCAACACAGAAGATGGGTTCACAGAACAAGTGTTCCGAGGAAAACAGATAGAGGAAAATGGATTTTTTTTTTTTTTAAAGGTTTCTCCTACTATCTTTTTCAGCAATCTTCAGCTTTAGGTATAAAATATGTTTGTAAAATGAGTTCTTTATGTTTTTTTTTTTTTTTTCCTTCCAATATTCCTCTACAAACTCAACTTTACGTAACTCTAAATAATTTTTACTGTATTATCTTTTTTTTTTTGGGGGAGGGGGGGTGACTATTATCTTTTGTTTATTAATACTGTTTTCATCAAATCAAAGGCAACAATTGCAGAGCTTGCTCACCAAGTTTAGTGGAGAAAGGGACTGAGAACAACCTTCAAAACGAGAATCTAAAAGGAGAAAGGCTTGTACCACATTGGTCTATTCTGATTTCTGTTTTCTTTTCCTCCCAACAGGTCAGACTTTGAATTCCCCAGAGCTAAGATGGTACAGTTCTAACTCCTCCTGCTGCATGGCAGTAGAAATAAATACCATCCACGTCAAAGGACAGATAAAATTGACAAACCCCTATAAAGCATGATTCATTTCTTCATGTAAAAAATCATAAAATCAAATTCCTAATGCAATTTTGGGGCAGATAAAAATCTGGGTCAGTTTTCTGTTTGCCAAAAATGCATGGTCAAAGATTCTCTATATAGTCCATATCTCATGAGTACCCTACATGTAAACCTTGTGGGAAATCACAGAACAGAAACCCCAAGAACATTAATGGGAAATCTGTTAGTTTCACAACAATTTGGGTACCAACAGAACATAATGTGTTTATTAAGAAGAGTACAACTCATCCTTTTTTCTCTGTCTATATAAGACTTCTCATGGTTCTGCAGCTTGAGGAAAAACTCTAACCTAAAAAGATCAAGAGTTCTAAGAAAAGAGTAGAAGAAGACGATGGTGATGGTGATGAGAGAAATGTTGAGTCATCTTGGCTCATCCCTTGCAAGTCTAGTGTTTGTCTATGCCATCTTTCAAGAATACTTTCCTTTTCCATTCCGTGGCTATATCCAGAGGTATGGCCACAAACTTGTGAGCTTTTTGTATCCTTACATTCAGGTTACCTTTGATGAATTCACTGGTGATGGAATGATGCGTAGTGAAGCATTTTCGACTATTCAAACCTATCTCAGTGCCAAGTCCACAGCCTGTGCTAAGAGGCTTAAGGCTAATGTTGTCAAAGGCAACAAGCCTATAGTCCTTAGCATGGATTACAATGAAGAGGTTGCTGATGAGTTTAAAGGAGTCAAGGTATGGTGGAGTTGTTGCAAAATTATTCCTAGCAGCAACAAGTTATCTTTTTCGTATTATCCTGGCTCAGATGACAAGAAGTTTTACAAGCTCATATTCCACAAGCGCAACCGGGAACTCATCACTGGGGTTTACATTGCTCATGTGATGAAAGAAGGGAAGGCAATCGCAGCAACGAACAGGCAGAGGAAGCTCTACTGCAACACTCCCAGCCAGCACTGGTCTTGGTACACGAAGAACAAGTGGAGCCATGTAGTCTTTGAGCATCCTGCAACTTTTGATACTATGGCGATGGAGACAAAGAAGAAAGAAGAAATCAAGAAGGACCTGACCAAGTTTAGCAAGGGGAAGCAGTATTATGCTAGTATTGGGAAGGCTTGGAAGCGTGGCTATCTCCTTTATGGCCCTCCAGGAACTGGGAAATCTACCATGATTGCTGCTATGGCAAATTTCCTGAATTATGATGTCTATGATCTTGAGCTCACAGCAGTAAAGGATAACACAGAGTTGAGGAGGCTTCTGATTGAGACATCAAACAAGTCAATCATAGTGATTGAGGACATTGATTGCTCTCTTGATCTTACAGGCCAGAGAAAGAAGGAGGAGAAAGATGAGGTTGAAGAGGAGATGGATCCAGTTAAGACGAAGGAAAAAGAAGGGGAGAAAAAGGATAGTAAGGTTACTCTATCTGGCCTTTTGAATTTCATTGATGGACTTTGGTCGGCTTGTGGTGAAGAAAGAATCATAGTGTTCACTACTAATTATGTGGACAAACTTGATCCTGCTCTAATTAGGAGGGGAAGGATGGACAAGCACATAGAAATGTCCTACTGTTGCTTTGAAGCCTTCAAGGTGCTAGCAAAGAATTACCTGAATATTGATTCTCATCCTTTGTTTGGAGAAATCAGCAGGTTGTTGGAGGAAACAAACATGACACCAGCTGATGTTGCGGAGAATTTGATGCTGAAATCAGAGGAGGATGATGAGGAGACTTCTTTGAAGGCTTTGATTGAAGCTCTTGTTGCTGCCAAGGAGGAAGCAAGATTGAAAGCTGAAGAGGAAGCGAGCCTCAAGGCAGAGAAAGAAGAGAAAGAGAAGGAAGAAGCACTCCTGAAAGCAGAGGAAGGGAAGAGAAAAGGCAGGAAGAGAAGAGAAAAGGAAGGAAGGGAAGAGAAAAGGAAAGAAGAAGCACTCCTAAAGGCAGAAGAAGAAGGGTAAGGGAAGGAACATCTGCTCAAGAAGATGATTAATTCCATAGTTAAACTATCCACAATTAAAGACCAGTAGCATTAGGAGATATTAGGACTGCTATGTATTTTGCTTTATATATTATGCTGTGTTTTCTTTGAAAAAAACATGACAACCATTAGGTTGATCAATGCTAGGATTTAAGTTTTCTTTTTATAACTATTGCAAGTTTCAGTAATCTACTCTAACCTTAATACAAGTCTTGATGCCATATCACAAGTGCTGTAGAACAAATCCATTCATTCAGATTTCAAACATTTAAAAATCTATTTAAGTGGAACTTGGAAAACATCTGTTCTGTACCTCGTGGAGTTGAAGTTTACAGTGCCAAGAACTTCCTGTGTGAAGGCCGCCGTAATGCAAAGACTAGGAGTACAGACACTGGCCCCCTGGCCCATCATGAGCATGATTTGATGTCAAGATGCAAAATTTGCTGGAACAAAGCCTACACCGCCATGGAATCCTATCTGGCAGCCTTATACACCAACAAGGTTGGACAGCTCAAAGGACCCTTAGAGAAAGCAAATCTATGGCGCTTTCGAGGGATGACCACAAAATTTAGGATGAATTTAATGGGTGGTGGAGCTCTGATGCTCTTCCGGTCACTCCACCACCGCCGATGGCGGCGATCGGTATTTCCAGCTCGCAGTCCACAGAAGCCAGCGGCATCTGATTACTGGTTGGTGTCTCGATTATGTGATTGAAGAGGTGGCTTTACACAAACAACCCTACTGAACATGGGTCATGGATCCCAGTCACGTCGCTTTTGAGAATCCGGTGACGATACAGACGCTAGTCATGGATCCCATACCGCAAGGGAAAACAGTAGACAAAATAGGTAAGACTTGGAAACGTGGCTACAGTCCTCCATGATCTCCGCTATGGCTAATCTGTAAAAGTACAATTAGGACATTTAAGACATTGAATTTAAGGTAATCCAGACCGACACAGAGCTCTGGTAGCTATTATGATTGATCTCAGGTGCCATAGAAGAAAAGGGAAAAGGTGAGAACTTGAGGAATGATCACAAGCCCAAAAAGGAGAGTGAGTCTGAAAATGAAAAAGGCAATTGGGTTACACTTTCTGGCCTTACGAACTCCATTGATGACATTCAGCATTGAACCATGATATTATCTTCCTGCATCAGTTTTTTTTTTTTTTGATAAGGTAATGATTATGAAATTAGTATGAATTAGTTGTTAGCAACTGGGGATTCGATTTTCAGATCGAGTGAATATTACATCCTTTCAAATAAATCACGCGATCATCAGACTGCTTTTTTGTAAAGTTCACGACGATAGTAGAGTTTGAAGTTTCGATTATCTCATCCAAGTACTTAAGGTTTGAAGTCGAACGATTAAGCATAAAACTCAAGCACTTAAGGTTTAGAGTCGAACAATTGGGCATAAAGCTCCTATTCATCTTCCTGCATCAGTTGATTGCATGTACCAAGTGTGTAGCTTGTACTTTTCTTTGTGCAGCTTGAATTCAGTTGTGTCGGTTGTGATTAGTCTGTTCGGTTTTTTTTTTTTTTGTGGAACAAGGACAATTTTAAGAGAAAACGGAAGGGAATGTTCCATCCATGGTTTAGAAGAATCACTAATTACCGTAGGTCAGGTATAAATATTCAATTAATTGATGAAATTTAAACTTTTAATTAATTTAATACAAATATTAAGATTTCAAGATAAACTATTAGATGGAAAGGTAGTTCTATTTGGGTTGTGTTTAGTCTAACCAATAAATAATGCTTTGCATTTCTTGTTTGAATGAATTGTGCGGTAAGGTATGATGAATCTAGTTATGGTGGTCGTAATTAGTTAATTTTACTTTTAATAAAAATAATGCTCAGTTAAAGTAATATAATGGTAAAAATTAAATGTTATTTTATGAAAATTATAGATTAAATTTAATTTTATCTGAATAATTAAATTTTAAATAATGTAGATAAATTAATTAAAGAAAATAATAAAAATTTTTAAAGCTAAAAGGGAGTTTAGTATCAACGCCAGAATAAATGTCAGACTTTTGCATATTTAAGATCTATTTGGTATAGTGATTTTAGGATGATAGTTAGCGGTTTTACTTAAATCATTAAATATAAGTGTTTAGTAAATTTATATATTTTAAAACCGTTACAAATAAAGTATTTGGTAAATTTTTTATTTAGCGGTTTGAAACTAGTGGATGGTAGTTAAGGTTTAAATCGTTAGCGGATTGAAAAAATTAGTTTATGTAACTTTTGTACCAAACCGTTAACGAATTAAAATTTTTTAATTTTATTGATAAATTTACATATTTTAATTTTTTAATTTGTGGTCACATTTTTTAATTAATAATTATCTAATAAATTTTAATTTTGTTTTTTTACCTTTAATAACATTAAGTGATTATAATATTTTTTTGTATATTAATTTAT